TATATTTTTTTTTTTTTCCCCTATTATCCCAGTTTATTGCTCTTAAGTGGAGGAGCAGATTTGAACCTAGGAAAATGCTCTTAATAGCTACACTCACTCTCCATGCTGATGTTCACCAAATTTAGTTGTGTTTTTTTAATCCTCACCCCAAGATACATTTTTCATTGAGTTTAGAGAGAGAGAGAGAAACATCAGTGTGAGAGAGAAATATCAAATGATTGCCTACCATATGCTCCCCAACTGGGGACTGAACCCACAGCCTTTCTGTGTACGGGACAACAGTCCAACCAACTGAGCCACACCAGCCTGGGCTCACCAGATTTATATCTCTAGCCCTGACCTCTTCCTTCTTGCAATTCTAATAACATTCACTGGCCAACTTGACTTTTTCCTCTGTATGGCTAATATTATTTCTCATTTAACTTCTCAAACTATTGATTTTTGCCATTTTTCTCCTGACCTTACCCGCCACCTCCCAGGCCTACTGCTCTTCTAGTGTTGTCCATCTTATTAAATGTCAGTACCATCTACCAATTTTGCAAGCCAAAACATGGGAAGTCATTCTTGTTACTCTTTTTCCCTCATGTGGAACATCCAAATTATTAGCAAGTTTGATCAGTTCTACCCCCAAAACATATCCTGAACCAATAGTAAACCTTTATTGGGTTTATTCTTGAATTTTCAATACTTGTTTATATCCTGACAATTGACATTTGTGTAGCATTTTCACCTTCACTCCTTCATTTGATTCTCATCGTAACCATTAGAGGCGTGTGGAGCAGATGGCAGTATACTGCCACACCTTCAAGGTTCAGGTGAAGATGGAGGTTGGTTCTGACAGACAGTGAAGCTTTCAAAAAGGAGGCAAAAGCCAGAAAGTAGAAGAAGGCTAATAATAATTCATTTCCTGAATATTTAAAAATTAAAAGCAGAGTATTTAGACTATGCCTAGCCCTGGGCTACCATGGGAATTTCTTTGTTCTTGTTGTGTGTGCTTGCGCGCGCGCGCGTGTGTGTGTGTGTGTGTGTTTATATAAAATCCAGTTCTTCCTTTAGGAACTTTTATTTTTGTTGATGCTACAATTCATATACAAATGAAATAAGCCCAGTGAAATGCAAGAATAAAATGATACATTGCAGTAGTTCAATTCTGAGGTACATCTCTCAAATTATTCAGATCTCACCTCAGATTTTATTTCTTTGAAGGCCATCTTTTCAGTATCCTATTCAAAGTACCACTACATCACTAACGTCCAAGTTGTGTCTCTATTCTATTTTATTTCTTCATAACATTTCATTTCTACCTGAAATCACCTTATGTATTTATATTTTACATAATATGTAAAAGGCAGGAACAAGGACCATTTCTATTCTGTGTATTAGTGGAATAGCTAGAAGGGTGGTTGGCACATAGTAGGTAATCAGTGAATTTTTACTAATTGAGGCTGTGGAATCAAAATCAGTTCAATTCCTAGCTTTACTGTTTTCTAACTATGTGACTTTAGACAAACTACTCTCTGAGAGCTTCATTTTCTGCTTCTGTAAGGCATTCGTCTTAAAAGCTTTATTTTAAGATTAAATAAGCTGATTGATGAAAGTTTCTAACACAGTACCCAACACATAGTAAGCATTCACTGAAATACATATTTTAAACAGTATTTACCCAGTTATTTGTGAAGTTCAGTATCATTAGGGCAATCTGTTTAACGAAGAATGAAAGAAAAGAGGAATCAAAGTATTTTTATAATCATTATAATGTTGTTTTGCTGCCAAAAGAAGTTTGCTAAAAACTTCTGTGTAAAAATAACTACCTTAGCATTTTAGAATCACATTTGTTTTCATTGACTTTAGTTAAATCTTTTATATTTCTGATAACTAATTATATTAGATCTAATATATTACCAAATAAATATTTCTAAATACTTGCATTTTAAAATTCTCCCAAATTGTGGTCCCATTTTCATAAAAATAAGTAAACACAAACCATAGCTGTATTGTCTACATGTGCATCTAAATGCACTCTAAAACTCTGAAGAACTTTCACCAAACTGACAAGAGTCGTTAGTTATCTCTATGAGTAATAGTGGCCTTGGGGTGAGAAGATAGATGGATAAATGAAATACTGTGCTTTAGGGCAAGGCTATTAAGTGTATTTGATAGAGAAAACATCTATGTATTGCTTGTATAGTTAAGAATTGATTCTCCTAAGTGTTTTCTAATAAGCTCTTCTACACTGAAGACAGAGCTGCATTTTAAAATGCACTCATTTATTTACTACCTACCTCCTTATTCAGTATGCCTACCGCATATCAAGCATTATGCTAGGCATTCAGTGTACAAAATGAAAAAGACATACATGGTCCTGTTCCTCAAGAGTTAATATTCTAGCTGGGGAAAGTTTTTTTTTAACACATTCATCCAATTTTAGACCTCTTCACCTGCCCCAAGGCAATTCAGACTCAGCATATCTAAAGCCAAACTCATTTTCCCAACAAAACTTTGGCTACTTCTGTATTTCTTTACCTATTCTTTACACTAAGAGGGAAACCTGGAGAGTCATCTTAAGCTTTTTCTTCTCCCCCATCCTTTTCAGCTAATGAGACACTAAGTCCTGTCATGCTAGTTTTAAAATTTCTCTTAAATCCATCTCTTACCCTCTCTTTGTTGGCACTACAATGGAGATTCTTGTGATCTTCGGTCTATACTATCCTAATGGCCTTTTCTGTTCTTTTTTCCTCTGGATATCTACCTACTTTTACTCCAGCCTTCATACTACTATCAGAAAAATCTAAGTCTGATCATCCTACCCTGATTAAAGTAGTTACATCCTCTATCACTAAGAGAAAAAAATATCAATATCTAGACCATGACATTGAAGGTCCTTCACAACTTGACCCCAGGCTTTTCAGCCTCCTCTCCCATTACTTCTTCTCCATTCTTTACCTCAGCCACAGTAAACTTATTTTTGCTTTCAAACATGTTATGCCTCGCCCCGACCAGCATGGCTCAGTGGTTGAGAGTCGACCTATGAACCCAGAGGTCGCAGTTTGATTCCCAGCCGGGCACATGCCCAGGTTGCGGGCTCCATCCCCAGTCGGGCGTGCAGGAGGCAGCCGATCAATGACTCCCTCTCATTATTAATGTTTCTATCTCTCTCTCCCTCTCCCCCCTCTCTCTGAAATCAGTAAAATAAAATAGACATGTTATGCTTCTTACACCTCTATTTTTTTCTCTTTTAAGAGAATGCCTTGTATTTCCCCTATGAAAGTTTTCTTCACATTGTCCTGCCCTTATGGCATATTGTAATTTCTTCTATAGAACCAGGTCATGTGTCTGCTCGTAAGGACTACAGTGGCAGCCATCAGGCAAAGTTAATGGCCTCCATTGTAGAGATTGTATTTATTTTATTTTTTTTAAGATATACTTTTATTGATTTTTTTTTTTTTTTTGAGAGGAAGGGAGAGGGAGAGAGAGAAACATTGATGTGAGACAGAAACATCTATTGGTTGCCTCCCATATGCACCCCGACTGACCAGGGACTGAACCCAAAACCTTGGTATGTGCCCTGACCTGGAATCAAACCAGTGACTTGACCTTTCGTTGCACAGGATGACAGTCCTCCTCCAACTGAGCCACACTATTCAGGGCTTTTCTTTTTAATTTTTTTATTTTACCCCTAATATTTAGCACATTTCTTAGTATGCCTGGCATAGGGTAAGGATGAAATAAATATTTGTGAAATTAGTTTACTGTAGAATTCTGCTTTGAAGCATAAAAATATAAACTAGGATTCAATAGCAGTGGAATTTATTAAACTTTATTTAATTCTTCAAACAGATTTTATGCTGCATGTGTAGTTCTTGGGTTGCAGTATTTACATGAACACAAAATTGTTTATAGGTAAGTAAAGTTTTGATACTTTCTAATGGCTTACTTTAGTGTAAATTAGAATTAAAGGTAATTAAGAAGGGTATTTTGTGTTTAATCAGCTTAATTTTCTCTTTCATATGATAAGTGACCTCTCAAAAAGTTAAATTCCAGTTTTCAAAGACATGATTAACACAGTAATTATATGATGAGCCTCTTTGTTCCTGAACCTCTGCTCATTATGTAATTACAGTAGTCAAAATATGAGTTGGCCTCTGCTAACACAGTTCAGCAATAATATTTATCCTGGTGGATATTTTACATTCATCTGATCCACTGCAGAAAACTTCTATAAACTAGTACTAAAATTTTTTCCATGATAAGATAACCAGCTTGTGCCAGAGTGTAAAACATCACCCTGCTGCCTTCATTAAGTCTTGCTGTCAACTAAATGGTGTACTTTGGTGACATAGCTAATTTATGTCTGGTGCAAGTTCCTTATCAAATTGCAGAGCCATAATAAATAGTTCATAGCCCAGCAGCTAGTCTGTGGGCCACACTTTGAATAGCATTGCTCTAGAGCAGTGATTTTCAACCTTTTTCATCTCATGGCACACATAAACTAATCACTAAAATTCTGTGGCACACCAAAAAAATATATTTTTTGCCCTTCTGACCATTAAAAAAAGGTATAATTTGGATTCATTCACACCAGATGGCTATTGTTGTGTTGGCTGTTGCCACTTTTTTATTTGACAATCTAAGGGAAAAGAGGTCAGTGCCTCTGACTAAATAGGCAGGTACTGCATGTTTCAAAATTCTGCGGCACACTGGTTGAAAATCGCTGTTGTAGATCAAATTATGGAAAAGCCAGTCAGAATTAGGAGACTATAAACATCAGTTTATACAAATACCTAACAGTATTTTCAAGGTGAGGGCTTCCTCATGGTTCTGTTTTACTCACAAGATAAAACATTTTCAGCTTAATTTGCAGTCAATGAGTATGGATAGGTAGCTTTCCCATTCTTATGGATTCTCTCAGGAAGTTAAACCTGCCCCGCCGGACCTTATTTATACTGTTAGATATTTCTGTTTTATAGCTGATGTATAGGCAAACTTCAAGCTTAATCCAAGTCAGATTATCACAAATAATCAATTAATAAAATCTATTAGATACTGGAACTCCTTTCATGTTGTAAAATATATGTTTAAATAGACAAAACATTCTTTATTAAATACATTCTTTTCTATGTAACAGGAAAATTATTCAGAAAATATGTAGAGTAATAAACTTTTCAAAAGGAAGAAAAAATGAATGTTTGTAATATAGCATTTAAATCTCAAATCATAACTTTAAAAACTTGTTTTTAGTAAAGAGAAAGTATGGCTCCTGGTGAAATTATTTTTTTTACTACATTATCTACTGATTTTATTGATTTTTTTTTTCCATTTGCATTTATTTTTATCCTGAACAGAGATTTGAAATTGGATAACTTATTACTAGATACAGAGGGCTTTGTGAAAATTGCTGATTTTGGTCTTTGCAAAGAAGGTAATTGAACATTTTGAAGTTTCTTTTTTAATAGATTACTATTCCTTTATACTTTGGTAGTTTTCAAGTTTGTCTATGGAAAGTAGAATGTATTTTTAACTTTAATTTATTCTTTATTAAAACATTACAGATTATTCAGATAACCTAATTATCACATTATTAAGAATTACTATGAATAAAGTTAGGTTTTCAGAAATTATAAAACAAAGATTCTCTTTGTATGATTAATAATTCTATCGCTATTCTATAAAAACATTGGTTAAGCACCAAAGTTTTGCTGGGACTATATAGAGTAAATTACATAGGCCTAATAACTTCTCTCCAGCTTCTTAAAACTTTTTAACATTTTTAAATAGGGGCAAATATAGATGATAGGTAGGTAGATATAGAGATCTCAAGATTCCTTTCTGTATATTCAAAAGTAAATAAGTAAACTGGGGGAATTTGAAGCAGAGGCAGCAAAAGAAAGTGCACAGAGCTTAGACTTAGGCACCAGGAAGTCTTGGGTTTGAATCCTGGTTCTGCCACTTATTTGCTCTGTATCTTTGGAGGAGTTGCTTTTAACCTCATTGAGTGTTTCCTCAGTTATAAAATTAAATATAATCCTCCTTGTTTAGGAGTATTATGAAAATTGGAGATAAGTATGTGGCACAGTGCTTACTTAACGTATAGTAAGTAGGTATTCTTATCTTTACATTTAATACATTGTATTGTAAGGAGCATTATCTGTCTGCCCCTCTACATTGGTAGCTTCCTAGTTCTTATTCAGCATTGTTGCCATAGAACATAGTATAGTGCTTGGCACATCTTAAGTATTCAGTGAATGTTCAGTTAATAAGTAGATGGATGGATGGATGGATGGATGGATGGATGGATGGATGGATGGATGGATGGATGGGTCTTAAGTATTCTGTGAATGTTCAATTAATAGTTAGATGAATGAATGAATGAACGAATGAACATTGTAAGTATATGCCCATTAGTTACACACTGACCTCCTAATTACTGAATTCAATAAAAGTTTTTCCTTTTATTGGACTTCTCTGAATTGGATACTGTTGATTTCAATGCTTTTGTTCCTCAGAGTCTGCTCTTAGCCCACTGCTCTTCACTGCTAGTTTTTAACTAGCAACTATATATTAATGATTCCCAAATCTATTTTTTCCCTTACTAACATATATCCTGCTGTCCACTAGACAGCTCTACCTGAATAGTCTATAGGTATCTCAAATGGCTATACAAGCAAAAAGTTTCTTTCCTCAGATAGTCTAGTTCATAGTTGATGGTGCCACAGTCCTCTCAGTCTCCCACTTTGAAAATTTGGAATTATCCTGGACTCGGTCCTCTACTCTCCACATCCTGTAAATCATCAAATTGTGCTGATATCTACCTCCTTAATATATCTTAAATGTTTTATTTCCCCTCTAATACTGCCAACCATCATTTTGTTTTGACAAGACTACTTTAATAGCCTCTTAATCTTTCCTGTGTCGTCTTTTTCTCCCTAAAATCAATCAGCCATGTAATTGCCAATATGCTAAAAGGGTGCACATAAATACAAATTTAACCATGGCACACCCCTGCTAAAAGTCCTTCAGTGGCTAAAATGTGATATGCAGTGCCCTTCCTGATCTGCTTGCCACCCTCTCCAGCCAGATCTCTTGCTGCCGTCTGTCTAGTACTTTCTGCTTCAGCACCTTACAGTCGGTCTATCTCTCTACCACTGTCTCCCATCCCAACTCCCTGTGCTAACTAATGTCTGCTCATGCTTCAGACTCAGCTCAGGTGTCACCTCTTCATATACGTTATCTGAGACTCCTCTCCTCCTATTCCAACACTTAAGTCAGCTTTAAGAGTCCTTCTTTTAAGTGTTTCTAAAATATCTTTCTTTTACCATATCATTATAAAATTATCAACATATATTTATTTTCCTCCAGTTTCCTGTAAACTTAAAGACAAGAATTGTGTCTTACTCTCATTTTTATGTTCCCACCACTTGGCATGGATGCCTAGAATATAATAGGTACTCAGAAAATATGTATTCAATAACCAAACTAATTAAGTGTGTATTTCTTCATTATCATAAAAATATGTGTAGTATATCATCATAATAATAGCTAGCAATTTTTGAGTACTTATTGTGTGCCAAGCACTTTGCTTCATGTGCTTCATATCCAGTTAAATTATATCAACCTTAGGAAGGTAGGTAATACAGATGAGGAAACCAGGCTTTGAGGTAAGACAACTTCCCCATGCTCTCATGGCTAACAAACGGCAAAGCTAGCGTTTAAGCCCAGATCTTTATGACTCCAGAGCCTAATGTTAACTGCTTACATAGAGTTTTACCAATTTGAAGTCTTAGATAATTGGGCCTACTTTCAACTTCCTTTAAATTTATCAGAATGAATGAAATATAATATATTACTATAAGTGACATGATATATATGCATTACATTACAATGTCACAGATTTTATAACATTACCATTTAAAAACTAAGGGAAAAAATTAGAGTAGTTTTATGCTAAAAGTATGACATCTGTAATATGCTCTAGTTGTGTGATCAGGACACTTAATAAAAATCAAGAAATTAGTTCTGTTTCCATGTTTGTTAACATTTTCCTAATCTTGGCCAAGGCATTTAAAAGGATTGTGTAGAACTTATATGGATGTTATATCAGCTCTTTTTACAAATAATAATTTTTTGAAAAAAGCAGTATGACCAATGTTAAAGAAATTTTGCACACACAAAAAATTCTCCCACCGTAGTGTGCTAATATATTTAACTATGCCCTTCAAGTCTTGGTCTATATACTTGCAAATTTATTTGAGATTTCAGTCATTATAAATGCATACATTTTTATATTTAGAATTGAGGTCTTTTCTCTCACATTCTTTCATAAGAAGACACTTATGAGCTTTTAACACTTTAGAATACATTGAGACATTTTCTTCAATATTTAGAATGTATATTTGATTAAATTATGAGAAATGCTTGAAAAGTAATTAGCTAAAGATATTAATGCCATATCTCATATAACACATTTGGTGAACTCTTGATTTTCCAAGGGTTTACTTTTTGATATTTTCCAAACTATACTTAATGTTATTTTTATAATGAAGCAAATAAACTTACAAAAAAAGATCAAATTGAAAAAATGATAAAAATTGAAGTTCACAATTAGTTCCTTTTGTTGTAACTTCTCAGCATTACTTGTAATGACAAGAAAGAGAAAATAAGTAAATAAAGTGTGAAAGTTTTATTTTTACCCATTAATTAAATAATAAGGTTGCTCTTGTACAGTTTTCTCTATACCCATCTTTATCATTTTCTTTAAAAGTCTTTGGTAAATCTTGCATTTAGTCACCATGCACTAATGTGCAACTTTAATTTTGCTTCCTAAGGATATCTTCTGATTTTTATTCTGGATCTTCTCTTTGCTGACAAATATTTAAATTTTACCTTTTTCAGGAATGGGATATGGAGATAGAACAAGCACATTTTGCGGCACTCCTGAATTTCTCGCCCCGGAAGTATTAACAGAAACATCTTATACAAGGGCTGTAGATTGGTGGGGCCTTGGTGTACTTATATATGAAATGCTTGTTGGAGAGGTAAGCAGTATAAAATAGGTGAGAAAGAAAAGAGGAAAGATGATTGAAAGAACCAAGCATGTCATCAAACTACTTAATATATCTCCTGCATACGTGGAACTTAAGTTTTATAAGTATTTATAATGTACTAATAATTGCCTGTATGTAACAACTATTTTTGAAGACTCAGAGTCATTATTGTCATTATGAGTAATAATTTTAATACTGCTGCTTACTGAAATGCCCTAACACCTATTGTGTATAGAGCATTAAATATGCTTGGAAATAGGTGGGGTTTTTTTTAGTTCCTTTTAGTTTAATTTTGTTGACAGCTGCTTCTTAGTGTGGTCATTATGCCTGCAAAATTTCTGATTGTGTTTTGTGACTATTAACTTAATATTGACTGTGAAATTCAAAGCATACCAATATCTAATCTCTTTCCACAACCTCTGTAATTTCTTCTATAGTAACATACTGTATTCACCTTACCCATTTCCTCTGTCTTTCCACAATATTGAACTTCTTAAACACTGTGTTTATTATCTAAATATTTCTCACTCTCTGGTAGGCACTTAAAATATTTACTGTCTGGCCAGATAAATTAATAAATAAATGAAATGGAATCGAACAAAATGAAAAATTATATGATTTGACCACATTTGTTCAGGTGTCTGAAATAAATTTAAGGAAGATTTCAGTAACAGTATATGGTGTATCCTCCGGGCAGTAGATATGTATGTCCTGTGGCTTCTTGTTGCCCTTGTTTGTGTGGTGTTTTGGTGGGGTTTTTTGTGGGTTTTTTTCACCACCTGGTTCTCGATTGTGCTTTGGATAGGTGATAAGATTTTACTGTATTGAAAATTATTTTGACTTACTCAAAGATATTTCTTCTAGTCTCCCTTTCCTGGTGATGATGAAGAGGAGGTTTTTGACAGTATTGTAAATGATGAAGTAAGGTATCCAAGGTTCTTATCTACAGAATCCATTTCGATAATGAGAAGGGTAAGAATTAATGGTTTATAAACTACTTAAATTTTTTATATTGAAGGACATTTCCAGATAGAACTCTGGAAGTTGTTTTTTAGTTCATAGATGCATGATTAAGACAAACACATACCAAAAAAAATCTAAGTCTTTGCAGGTTATGAGAATCTTTTATCAATGCAGTCGCTGGTTTTATTTTAACTTTTTACCTTTATGTTGTGTTAGCTATTAAGAAGAAATCCTGAGCGGCGCCTTGGAGCTGGTGAGAAAGATGCAGAGGATGTAAAAAAACACCCATTTTTCCGGGTAAGTATGAAAGTTTAGAATTTTGTTTGAAACTATTGCAATTAGGAGTAGGAAACTAAACTGGTCATTTTATATTTTGTAATCCAGCTAATTGATTGGAATGCTCTGATGGACAAAAAAGTAAAGCCGCCATTTGTACCTACCATTAGAGGCCGGGAAGATGTTAGTAACTTTGATGATGAATTTACCTCAGAAGCACCTACTCTGACTCCACCTCGAGAACCAAGGATACTTTCAGAAGAAGAGCAAGAAATGTTCAGAGACTTCGACTACATTGCTGATTGGTGTTGATTCCCTAGACACTGTGAAACCCAGCAGACTGGCTACAAGATGACCTCTTACAAATAGCAACTCTTCATTTGCTCTCTGTGCCACCAGTAGCTTCTGAGTCTGTTTTTTTTTAAACACATGAAGATTTGTTTTAAAGTACTTCTAATACCCTCTTGAAAAGTAGCTTCTTGGTGTATTTTCAATGTAAATCTGATCACTGGAAACAGTTTCATGGAGTTTAAGCTGAATGAACATCGCCCATGAAAATCTATCACAAATGAATACTTTTGGATCGGTAGTCTTTTTTTAAAAAAGTGCTCTTCTGTAGTCCCTAGTTTGGCCATATGCCTGCCTTAAATGGAAGGAAAATGAACCAGTTAACTTCACTTAGCTGTATTTTTAAAATGAAAAAAGGGCTTGGGGACTCTATTACTATTCACATATAGTATGATTCTGTTTGAATAAGGCAAATGCTCTTATTTTTTTAAAGAAATAACTAATATCAAAAAAAGTAGTGGTAGTTTGTGCACATTTTTAGGCTTTTTTTTTTTTTTTAAATGAAATGATGTTTTGTTTTATAAATTTTTTATATTTATTAGGAGAAAATTTTTATCACCTTATCTTTACCAACCATGTAACAGAACCTCATAGCTTTCCAACAGAGCTACTTGCCAAACAATTGTTTGTCTATTTAACCATGATGAAATGAACAGGAACAACTAAATATCAGCATTTACTTAAAAATTTAAGAATGAGAGCTTCTGATTATCCTGAACCAAGATACTGTGTTACCTGTATGCATTCCCGAAGTCTAGGCACTCAGTATGTTCAGTCGTAGCTTCTTCCAAAATCAGTGAACTGATTACTGCTTCTTTTGATATTCAGTCTACATTTATCAACCTAGTTCATCTTGTTCTTGTGTCTACTGTAGAAGGGAACTATATCTTTGTTAAAACATAGGGGTTATCATTGTATACATGCTGTGAACATGTATATGTGCAAGTTGTAATGTATTCTGTGTTGTAGGTTTATTATTTAATTTCACCACTTCATCACTTTTGTACAGTGGCCAAGCAGACACCTCAAACTCCAGCATTTGTTAAGTGCATTTGTACATTTTAGGCCACTGGATCCAGATTTTATATTGGCAGTTACTAAGGGCAAAAGCAATATATTGTAACAGAATGTATAAATATTTTTGATAAAACAGTCTATATTTTATAAAAATTATTATAACACTAAAGCTGTACCTCAAAAGTCTCAAAAATAATTTGATCAAGTACTTTTTACAACTCTTCAGAGGATCCTTTTGTGGCTTTTTTAATGCTCTTATAGGAAAGTCTTTTTGTAAGCCATGACTTTTCCACTTGCCTGGAGTTTTTTGGGTTTTTTTATTTGTTCATTTGTTTTTCCCTTCTAGTCCATGACTTCATTGTTTTTCCTTAATTCAATAATAACATCTTTGATTCTGTGCTTAGCATATTAAGGTCATCATACCTCAGGAATAGCAAGTTGTTAACTAAACATTCTAGATTAACCATTTAATCACAATGATCTCATGTCTTAAAAATGGTTCAAGTTTAAATATGAGAAACATGAAAGCACATTTGTTTGTAGAGAGTTGAGCTAAAAATATTTAAAGTATTTCAGCCTTGACAGAGTATGTTGGCATGTTTTTGTTGTACTCTGAAAACAATTAAAATTGTTCAGAGATAATTCATAATTCCTTTCAAATTGATTATTACCCAAGATTCTTTAGGGATAATCTTCTAGAAGGAGCAGTATGTTGTTTCAAGTCATTTTTAAGTGCCAGTTAACTTTGGTAAAGGACAATAGAGGATCTTAGCTTAATTGTCTGGCTTTAATTTAAACAGTATTAACACAACATTAAAAAAACACTACATACTTTTGAGGTACAGTCTGTTCACCTTTTCTGGTTCTCAGATCTGCATAAAAAGCAATGTCTAAAATAGGCTTTTAGCATTAAAAACTGACATAGCATTTTTGTAACTACACAGTGTACAGAAATTTTTTTTAATTGAAGCCAATCACTAAAAAAATTAGAGGGCAGGGTATATTCACACCATTAAGCTGAAGAAAGCACTAATTTTTTCTGTAGTTTTAAATATATATATATTTTAGTCAGATTTTAAAATTTTAAACTATAGAGTGTAAATATATTTTGCTATTACTGTATGTGTAAGTGACTGCTTAAGCACTTTGCGAGGAAATTAGGATATTTTAGAATGGTACACTATGCATTCAAATGAAATGTGCCTTTAACTATGTCATTCTAAGAAAAAAGTGTTTTGCAGTCATAAATTACCACAGATGCACAAATTAAAGTTTAAATAGATTGTAATTTGTAACTTTGGTTTTAAGTATTATTTCTTTTTTGAAACTTCCTGTTGGTCAAAATATGCATTAGCTTTACTATGTTCAAGATCTCAAAGACTTTAACTCTAGTTAGCCTTCTTGCAAGTACTGTTTGTCCTAGGGAAGGGCAAAATCATGAAGATTCACAGCAAGTTGTTCTCTTCACTGGTAATAATGGGAAAACTGCATCTTACTCCTGTAAGGTCAGTAGCATCTTTTATTCAATGGATATTAATGGAATGCCTTGTGTGTGCTAGACACTGAGAATAGAAAGGTGGAGGGGGGAGTATCAATGTCTTCACAAATAAAGAACAATATCATTAATGCCAAAATGTAAGCACTGTATTACATGTACTCTTTTCTTGTTTGGGGTTAACTTATTTTAAGACCTGACCCTTCTGAAAATAGGTAAATGTAAACAGAATTCTAGCTACTTTATAGTCATTCAGAAATTACAAACGAAATATTTTAGAACTGTAAAATGATCCATGCTGTTCCTGTAACACATACTGGGGTCATAATGGAAATTGTTATTTTATATTGACTAGGTGAATGCCGCATTATAGATTAAAATATAACAAAATTTTTACAGGTGCTGGTGATCTTCCCAAAAATTGAAGGTGAGTATGAGAACCCCAAAGGAGCAAATAATCTTAATTTACTTGATAGATAGATGATAGATAGATAGATAGATAGATAGATAGATAGATAGATAGATAGATAGATAGATGATAGATAGATTGATTTCAGAGAGAGGAAGGGGGAGAGAGAGAGAAACATCAATGATGAGAGAGCCATTGATCAGCTGCCTCCTGCACACCCCCCACTGGGGATTGAGCCCTGACCAGGAATCAAACCATGATCTCCTGGGTCATAGGCCGATGCTCAACCTCTAAGCCATGCCAGCCGAGCTCTAGCTATATTTTGAGGTCTAATGTTTGTCTAAGAAATTAACCTTAAATATGTGTGTATTTGTGTGTGTGTGTGTGTAAACATGTATGTAAATATATACATATATTAATAGACATAAGCTTTGAAGTAACTTCTAAGTGTCAAAAATGTTACATAATTTTCTCTACTAGTATTATGACTAAGTAGAAGCTCTAAGACCTCCATAATTTGAGGCATTTCTTCTAGGAGTTTTATGGTATCAGGTCTTATGTTTAAGTCTTTAATATATTTCGAGTTAATTTTTGTGTGGTAGAAGATAGGGGTGCAGTCTTATTTTTCTGCATGCGGTTTTCCAATTTTCCTAACACAATTTATTGAAGAGACTATCCTTGTCCCATTGTATATTCCTGGTTCCTGTGCTGTCGATTAATTTACTATATATATGTGGGTTTATTGTTGGGCTCTCCATTCTGTTCAAAGAAGATTCAAAGAAGTTAAGTTTTATACTATCAAAAGTATAAGAAAAATGTAATTGCTACTTTGTCCAAAGGAGGAGTATTCCACTTCATTATATATTGCTTCACAAGCACTGATGTTTAGTCATTCAATAAATATGTATTGATCTTCTATTACTGGTCACCAGGCATTGTGCTTGGTGCACACAAGGCTCCATAGAGCCCACAGTTCAGTAGGGTACATATAAGTCACTTAACAATGACATTAGTGTGATCAAGACTCCTCCAGGGAGAGGACAAGGTGCTCTGGGAGTGCATCAGAAATCCAGGCTGGGGAGTCAAGTGAAAAGTTAGAGGGTTTTTTGTTTGCTTTTTACACTTTGTGCCCTGCTCTTTCCACATGGGCAGAATAACTGTTGGCTCCTCTCTGACCCCCTTGGCCTCTGTACACACCTCCATCCTGTCTAATTGCATCAGTGCCAGGCATGCCTTATGCACCTCTTGTATCTTGCATCTCCAGGGTCTACATAGTGGAGAAAAAGGAATGGCTGTTTGTTCTATGCAAAGATTTTAGAATAATGTAAAATACTAAGTTTTTATTAGTGATTGAGATCCAGCCTAAGGTCAGTTGCTGTGAATTGCAAGTGGGCTGAAGTATAACAAGGGTGTCCCTCTGACAACAGCTGCAAGAACCAGTCCTTATTTAAGTCCTTGATCTACAGAGAACCTCCACATCCATGCTGTCACTTGAAACTAAAAGCATTTGAAAATCAGCACGTGGAGGTAGCAAGAGGCCTGGCACTAGTCTTCATTTTGCTCATATGTAGTAGTGTGACCTGGGACAGGTATTTAACCTCACTAGCAATATGTGAACATTTCACCCCAGTTTTTTCATCTATAAAATGAAGAAGTTAGAGTAGGTCATTCACTTTTACCTTCCTTTTCAAACAAAATCTTCAGTGTTATTCCAACACACAGAGCAGAAGCAAGCTGGGGGCTACTTCTGAGGCTTGTAGAAGCCCCTGGCCCACACTATTTGATGTCCATGCTGCTTCATGTGCCTTTTAGAGCCGTCATTGAATATCCGTCATCTCCAATATGCAGATAGTGGAAAACGGTGTTACACTCAAACCCAGAGTTAAAATGTGTTATCAGGGCCCAAATCTGGGCCCCTAATGTGAATTGGAGAGCAGACCACCCCTCAGATTAACAAATTAGTACAGTGGGTGAGTTGATTGCATAGCAGATGGTATTCGTTGGGCCACAGCAATGCAGGAGGAGGTTGAAAGTTCTCGGTCCATCATTAACTTCTGGTGTCTCATAGCCATAGATCTGGAAGGAACCACAGACACAGTAAGGTCATTTCAGAAAAATCTCTGACAGATACAGCAAGTCTGATAAAATACCTTCCTTCAGTGAGGTATTCAGCCTGATAAATGTGTTCATCAGGAAGCTCCATATAACTTCCATATCCTAGACTTGCCATTTCCCCCCTTAGAAATGCTTTTATTTATAAAATAACTACTTCAATAGAAGCATCTCCAAATATATACACTATTCACAAGAGGCTTGTGTTGCTGCCTTCAGACCCACAGACGTGCGGGCTCAGGAGTCCACAGGTGTCTCCTGATACATCAGGATTTTTAGGCCGAAGGTGCACTTGGTGGTACAGGAGCTGTAAAGCTGTTCTTAATTCCCTTCTCATAGTTTCCTGTTCCAAGGTAGGCTTCACATCTGGGGCAGACCTTAAATAAGAGCCCTGCTCCAATAAAACTTTCAGGGGAGAATCTTCACATGGGGATTAGCAAACATCTTCCTGGGGCCAGAAAAAGGGAGTATCAGGCGCGTTGTTTTTTTTTTTATTATTATTATTTTTTTATAAGTTCAGGTGAATCAAGACTACAGTGGAAACGATGATGACATAAGTGATAGGGTAACCCAAATACCACACCTGGCTTTGCTGAGCTCACTGTCAAACAAGGACTGGATGAGCCAGCAAAGGCTGGCATATTTGAGGTGAAAACCAGAGATCTGTGCCCCGCCTGAGAGTTTGTGTCAATGGCAGAGGCAGGGAATCCCGGGGAGAGTCAGACAGTGGATGGAGGGAGAAGGTGCTTGCCCTACAGCGAAGTTGCCTTGCTTCAAATCAGGCTTCTCTCTGACCATTGGCATCCGCATCTGTAAGAAAAGGACAGTAAGAAGCGCACCAATTTTTGAAGATTTACTAAGTAAATCCACATACATCACTTAAACCAAGGTCTCTCACATAGTGTTCAATGGATATTAGCTATTTTGGTAGTAATTATTATACAACTTTTTGATTTTTACCCTATTTAACCTTCCATCCCTCTATTAACACTGTCCTGTAAATTTATTTATTTATTTATTTATTTATTTAGATCTCTCCCTACCCACACCCCCCTCCCCGCCTTCCCTCTGAGATCCCTCAGTTTGTTCCAAGCTTCTATGTTACTGGACCCACTTTGTTCTTCAGTTTATTTTGTTTATTCCACATGTAAGTGAGATCATTTGGTACTTTTCCTTCTCTGACTGGCTCATTTCACTTAGCATAATACTCTCTAGTCCCCTCCATGCTGTGCCAAAGGCCAAAAGGTCCTTCCTCTTTACAGCCGCATAGTACTCCATGGTGTAAATGTCCCACAGTTTTTTTATCCACTCATCTACTGATGGGCACTTGGGCTGTTTCCAGATCTTAGCTATTGTAAATTGAGCTGCTATGAACATAGGGGTGCATAAGTTCTTTGCAATTGGTGTTTGGGGTTCCTTAGGATATATTCCTAGAAGTGGGATCACTGGGTCAAATGACAGGTCAATTTTTAATCTTTTGAGGAAACTCCATAGTGTTTCCCATAGTGGCTGCCCCAGTCTGCATTCCCACCAGCAGTGTACTAGGGTTCCCTTTCTCCACACCCTCGCCAGCAGTTGTCATTCTTTGTTGATGGCAGCCATTCTGACAGGTGTAAGTGATACCTCATTGTGGTTTTAATTTGCATCTCTGATGATTAGCGATGCTGAACGTTTTTTCATGTCTCTTAGCCATCTGTATGTCCTCTTTGGAGAAGTGTCTATTTAGGTCCATTGCCCATTTTTTAATTGGATTGTGTGTGTTCCTTTCGTTAAGTAGTATGAGTTCCTTATATATTTTGGATATTAACCCTTTATCCAATGTGTCATTGGCAAATATGTCCTCCCATACAGTGGGCTCCCTTTTCGTTTTGTTGATGGTTTTCTTTGCTGTGCAGAAGCTTTTTTTTTTTTTGATGCAGTCCCATTTGTTTGTTTTCTCCTTAGTTTTCTCTTGCCCTAGGAGATATACCAGCAAACATTGCTTCGAAAGATGTCTGAGATTTTACTGCCTATGTTTTCCTCTAGGATTTTTATGGTTTCATGCCTTACATTTAAGTCTTTTATCCATTTTGAATTCACTTTTGTGTATGGTGTAAGTTGGTGGTTCATTTTCATTTTTTTGCAATCAGGCACTTTTGGCTTAGACTGCGGTGTCTGAGACATGGAGGTTAGAGGTGAAACAGAAAACATTGATTTCCAAGTCTAGGAGAAGCTACTTTGGGGACTGAGTATCCTAATTCAAGTAAGACACATTAGTTTTCTGTATCTGTGGATAGTACTGTGCTTGGGTGAAGGAGGAAGGCATCCCATCTTCCACCAGGCTGGGCTCATTGCAGAGTGAATCCTTTTAACCAAATGGCTAGAGCTCTGACCCTGTTCTCCTCGGAAAACCTATCAGTTATTGGGTAGCAGAAGAGAGGGCCGGGAGAGAGTATCACACGCTGACTGTATAAAGTAGACATAACTGTCAGAAAGGTGTAGTTAACTGCACTAGACCTGCCTTTTGGAACTGTGTAGAACACACTAGCCTTTCTAACATATCTAGGGGTTATTACACCCAATTCTTTCGTGCTTTTAACAATGTCACCTGTGCCAATTTAGAGCAAACTCTCCTTTGGCAGAA